TGATCATTCCTTAATTGCACATAAAAAGCATATTCGCACGTATGAAAAAAAATTAAAACATCATTTGAAACATATAGTTACAAAATATTTACGCATTACCGCCAGAATACGAGTATGTGTTTTATGTGTTCAATATTAGATCGTGTACTGGAATCTCAGATATAAAATATTATATTCAATTCAACGTGCAACCAGAATAGTGTAATGTTTAACAATATCGTTATAAAGAAGATAATAGATGAATTTGTTTGAAGGTCCAAATATACGAGGCGCATATTTCGTTTGTTGAAGTACGTAATAGCGGTACTTTATGAATCTAAAATGGAGGACAAAATCTTTATTAAGCTTAGCGATTATACCGTATTATACTTGGTGGTATAAAAAAAAACTTAATACTGCTCAGTGACCATATTTGTTGAAATTAATAAATAAACACAGTATTCTATAATATTTTAATATATGAAGAGAAAACTCAGTACTCCTTTTAAACACGCTTTGTTAGCTTTGCGTGAATCCTTTAACGTAATTTTCATCAATTTGCAGACGGCCGATTGACTTGAAAGTTTGAACTCAAGTTCAATGCCAATATAATTATTTAATAACTTTATCCTAATATCCCTACCAGGATCACTAGGATAAAATAATTTAATTTTACACACTTTACGATAATAATGTATAAAGATAATGTAATTTGGCATCTCATAATTCATCCATTTCCAGGCGTCTTAATTATCTGAAAATTTGCCGACGCATTAGGAACCGAACACAAATCAATAATTTCATGACTATGACTTGTTATTCTTACTAGGATTCAACACAACTCATAATCAATGCGTGTTGTTTAGGATTTTTAAACTTTGATATTATTAAACATATTAGGCCCGAGCGCCTGTGTGTAAGATTACGCATTGGTTGCGCGGAAAACGAATACCCTCGCATTACTGGTGAACCCGGGACCTGACCGCCGCACTACGCATAGTTAGTTTATACAGAAAAGGAGTGCAGAAAGCTAAAGGTTATTAAATTATATGTACATTAAATGAAATAAAATAAAACATACATTGTTTACGTTCACACTGTCAAGGTCAAACACATAAATGTCACTTGGACAAATTATGTTATGAGTTTTTAGAGATTAGAGAGAGATTCTATGGAGTAATTACATACGTATGCATAGAGAGAACTTGTAATTCTACATAAATTGAGTAGATATATTTGTCTCGGTTTTTCTAAGATAGTCTCTACTTTAACGTATGGTAGTGAAGGTTGGGTGTGGCAGAAGAAGCACGAGAGTAGAGTAAACACATTAGAAATGCGGTCGTTAAGGAGTATGTTAAGGCTGAATTTGAGTGACAGGGTGATAACCTGTGTGATAAGAGGAGAGTGTAGTTTGCAAGATGATGTTGTGACCAAAAAAATTAAGAAACGAATGCTTCGGTGGCTTGGTCATGTAGAAGGAATGTATGAGGAAAGAGTGAAAAAGGAAATTTATGTTGCAGAAGTGAACGGCAGAGTCGGAAAGCGAAAGTTTATCGATTTAATTTTCAAAAAAGAGACAAATCTTTTGAAATATGTTGCGTGTAAATCATGCGTGGAAATAGAAATATCAAGTAGTCATCATTGGCCCCTTTATACTATGCCAAATATGAGAGTAAGTGCACTCGTATGTTCTGATTTACTAGAAAAATGACATCCCTATTGTAGTGGTATTATATGTGACGTTACTTTACAACACATGACGTCTTCAATCTATAGTGATTTCGTTCGCTATGAGAGCAACAATCTACATCGATATACTTTTTTTACTATTTTTGTTTAGTTACATATTTTTATTACTTTAATATATTTCTAAAAATATAAAGAAAATAGGACTAGACTTATTATTATTCTAACGATCACGTGAAGTGTTTTCTAAATCAAGTGACAATGATTATTATATTTTAAACTGAAAACTTTAAAACTAATAGTTAGGGGGTTATGAATACCAAGTCTTGACAGACACACGGTACATAAGCGAGCTGGATCCCATTTTTGTAATCCCATTTTTATATGCTGACTAACGATGCGCCCTGTCTTCGCACAACTGTTTTCTAGATCTCTAGAAGAGCGCTACTTACCGGGTCCAATTGTTAGTGTGATTGTTCATCAAAATCGGTCCAGCCGTTCTCAAGCGATGATCTTTCATACACGAGGAAATAGATTAATTAATTTATACAACATGAAACAAAAACCCTGTGGTTCCCGTTAAGTGCGTTATCAGAATCAGTATTCAAGCGTATAGAAATAATTTTTTTTTTCAAAAAAAAACACATTTAAAAAAATTATTTTAATGGAAAAATTTGCAAATTATATGTGGTTTTATTGCCTCTAATCACACGAGTATCAGTAATCTTCTCTATCATAAAACTCTTTCTTTGACAATCCTCTTACTCCTCGGCCAATGCAGAGATAATAAAACCACATACAATTTGCAAATTTTTTTTCATAAAAAAAATTAAATGAGTTTTTTGAAAAAAAAAATTATTTCTATACGCTTGGATACTGATTCTGATAACGCACTTAACGGGAACCACAGGGTTTTTGTTACATGCATAATAATAATAATAAATTTATTTCAGACCCACATATAGTCCATAATATGTATATATATATATATATATATATAGTATAGATTCACCACTTGCCATCACAAACCATCGACTATATCCAACAAATTGTTTATCTGTTTGGATGAAAATATTTCGGAACCATGAAGTTTAGGCAGGATCTTGCTAATGCCGTGTAGTAGCGGTGAAAAACTGACCTCTACCTTCTACCAAAATATATTACTACTTAGAAGCTCTAAGACCCTACAGCATCCCGTGAGTATCGTAAAAGACGACATAGAGAAATTATACAAGAGAAAAGCAACAGTATCTTCCTGATAACAACTCATAATAGTAAAAAATTGCGGCTATCAACACACTTGCTAAGAGGGGGAATTATGTCAGATATTCCCCCTACATTCATCAGAGGACTTTTAATAGGCTGCAATTAATGCATTAATGATGGATATTATCTTGAATAAAGAGGAAAACGGATAATACGTTCGTAATCGATTTATTGCTATTGTGATTTTTTTTTAATTAAAAATGGGCTCACTCTTGACCTCATCTGGCCCGAGGGCAGAGATGAGGTCTATGATGGGGCGAGTTGCCCAGGAGAAGCCTTTTGACAAATACCTTGAAGAGGTGAAGGTTATATGCACTCGAAAAATCAGACGCCAGCTAGGCATTCCACTTGGTTGTGTGCATTATTAAAGATGACTTATTTCGGACATTCGGAAAATCAAAGTATAATTTGGCAGAAATATACTGGCTGAATTTAAGTAGATTTCATAGCATATATATCTCAATAAATGTATATACGAATAACTATAAACATATAAAATAAGTAGATTTAACTTTGTTGGCTACGGATATGTTCGTATAGTTTTCTTTTAAAAACATTTTTGGCAGGTATTATTCGCAGGTCAACAGGCAAATGTTCCAGAAGGAGATGGAAGTTACTGTGAAAGAATTCGACATAAACTAATACATATAGATAATACTATGAAAGAATAGTGGAGAGGAGTAGACAATAATAAATTGTGTGAAGAACGGACATTGAGAGAATGAGTGTCACTACGTAATTGGAATCTTTCATTCAGATAATGGGGTGAGGAATAATCATTAGGAACTGAAAACAGAGTGGTCAAAATTCGAAAATCTCTGCGCTGGCGTATATTCAACCATTTTAACTTGGAGCGAAATTCTGATACGTGGTCGTATTTGCGCAGGCCAAAGATGAATCGTATGCAATTAATTAAGTAATTATAGTAGTATTAATTAAGTAATCTGTCCAACCTGTTTAACAGCTCCTGAGAAATATTAGTGAGACAAACATCGGCATAGTCAAATAATGGAAGAATTAGAGATTGGATGAATAGAAGTTTAGTTGAAGGGGGCAGAAAGAACTTAAGACGATAGATGGAACGAAGTATGCCGAAACAACCTCTGACACTTGTAACATCCAACTCAGTGAGGGGTCAATAATTAAAGCCATTTATATTTTTAATATTTTATAGATAGATATATTTTAAATTATACAACGATAGTAAGAAATTTTGCATTATTCAATCAAGTTTTTGTTGCAAGATGTCAGTATAAGCTTCCAAAAACTTTCTTTGATATAAATAACCGGACTGATAAAAATCCCTAATTTTAATAAGTCATAGACTAAGTGAATTTATCGACAACGTTGTTCGTTTCGTTAATGGCACAAAAGGTAAAAGAAAAAAAAGCAAGAGTAATATAGCTATAAAATTGCATCTTATTTTGTACCATGTTAAACGTCATTTTTAAAAGGAGTTCAGGTATAAGAATTTCGTTCTTATTTTAGGACTCTCTGCTAGTAATGTTATTTACTCTGAAATACTGCCAAATACAGTCTCAGAGTAATTACGTATGTATGTAATTACTCTAAGCAGAGAATGGGTACTAAATTGTATAATATATAAATCAGTACGTTTTAAGCAAAAAGGCTAAAAAACGATAATTTTATATTTTGTATATTAATTATCTCCATTGTGATTTTATTTTTCTGTTCAATTTTTTCGTTTCGATGTTATTTTTCTAGTAAATCAGAAGATACGAGTGTACTTACTCTAACATTTAGCATCGTAAAAGTGACCATTTGATATTTTTATATCCACTCATGAAATACACGCAACATCTTTCAATCTTATTTGAAAATTAAATTATAAAAAGCGACAGCTTAATGCTGATGTATTTCTTGTAGAGATCCAGAGCCCATTTTACAGGTAACGAGACATTCTACTTTAGTCCTCAGGGGTGATAACGCTTTTACATTTCGATTCTTAATCGATCAGAGTGTTTACGGGCTACAGTAACCACTTACAATCAGGTAGACTGTGTTCTCGTTTACCATTCTTATCCTATAAAAAAAGCTAATAAACTTACCTGGGCCTCACATCGTGCTGCTTGCTCCGCAGCAAGCTGGTCTCTAAGGAGCAATAGTTGTGCTACTGCAGCCTGTGTTTGCTGTGCTTGCTGATCGAGGCGCTCACGCAAGAGTTTCAGTTGGTGCTGGGCGCTGAGTGGCGTAGATGTGTCATCCTCGGGCGCGCTTGAGATCTCAACTTTGGTTACACACTCCGGTAAGTCTGGGAGGTTGATGCTCGGAACTGATGTTTGCTGAAAAAATATCCACAGGTTAATTAAATTATGTTATTAGGAGTCCGTTTCAGAAGCTCGGCTACCTTATTTAATTCCATCAACTGTGCATCCAATATAGTATAAAGCGAAAGAAAATAAAATATACCCTATGTATATATTATCTTCCTCGGAGTTCAAGATGGTAATGTCTCTGTAGCCTTTTTTATTTAAGGTTGGGGTTGCAAGTATCCATGGGTGGTTAGATATTGTAAAAATAATGTTGTTAATTCCTCTAAGGACAAACTAATTTGATATTCGGTTACTTGACACTATCGTTAAACGGGTATTACACCTTTCTTATTAAGGATCCCTAGATCCTTAATAAGAGAGGTGTAATAAGAGTAAGGCAGTTCCCAGTAGAAGCAGTGCACAAAATGCACAGTAGGACGGGCAAGAGATACAACCTTGCCCTCATCATCCTATCCAACGTAGAGGAGGCCAAAGCCATCTTCCGGCAGGTACGCACAGTGTGTGGCCTGTCGAGAGTGAAGGTCGAGCCCCCACATAGGCGCAGTTTCCCTGCGCAGTGCCACCGCTGCCAACTTTATGGTCACGCGGCGGCCAACTGCTCCGCCCCACCCAGGTGCGTAAAGTGCCTCGAACCCCATAACACGAAAGAGTGTCCCCGGCCCAAAGACGCCGAATCCCCGCCCGCTTGTGTCCTGTGCAACCAGACAGGACACCCGGCTAACTACAGGGGTTGCCCACGCGCACCTCAACCTCGCCCCAGTAGGCAAGCTCCACCGCCAGTGAATGACCGCTCATTCCCGGCCCTCCAACAACGGCCCCGTCAGGGCCTGTCTCAGCCCATCCAGGGCTTCTCTCGACCCTCTCAGGGTCCCCCTAGGCCCCCCTCAGGGCATAATTCGGCCCCCCTCCGGGCTTCTCCAAGCCAATGCAGCCTCCAGTCTTTCCCTGGGGGCCCAAAAAGGCAGACCCACCGCAGACAACCTCGTACGCACATGAAGCAGAGCCCACACCTGACGACTACAACACACTATATTCCGCTATTAGGAATATCGATGTAAGGGAAATCACCGTAGTAGCACGCAAACTGCGCGCGGCGAAGTCCCCCCCAAGAACGTCTCCTCGTTCTTGCAGAACACAACAATCTTCTATTAGCGTTGTAAGTTAAGTTAACTTAATTAACTTAACTTCAATGACTGAGCAAATCACTCTACCTAAATCCCACGGTCGTATCAAACCTAAGGGTTTATCGCTTGTATCATTTAATATTCGCGGCTTGCGAAATAACCTCCCAGAGCTTAAGCTCTTTCTTCGGCATCGTGAAGTCGATTTCCTCCTTCTACAGGAAACTAATCTCAAAGATAAGGACACTAGAGGCCTTTCTATTAAAAACTTCTCTCTTCTTCGTAACGACAGACCCGACCGCCGAGGCGGCGGAACGGCCATCTATTACAAGAAGACACTTCATTGCTCGCCCATTTCCACTCCGCAGCTTACCAACATGGAAGCCACGGTATGCAGGCTAGCTATGACTGGACATCAGTCCATCCTCATAGCCTCCTGTTACATCCCTTCAGGAACCTATCCCCTCAAAAAAGATTTTGAGGCCACTTTATCTCTAGACAATTCAGTCATTATGTTTGGAGATTTTAACTCCAAGCATACAGAATGGACATGCCGCACTACGTCCCCTAGTGGCAAGATACTGCTCGATATCACGCAGTCTCTTGATATTACCGTCCATAGTCCTCTCGGTGTTACTCACTTTCCCGATAACACCGATCACGCCCCCGATGTGTTAGATTTTGCGTTACTCCAAGGAGTTTCTCTCAACCTCAGAGCAATCGAGACACTAGACGATCTAGGATCCGATCACCGACCGGTCTCCCTCATTCTTGGCCATCAGCCACTTCCCCCAACACACACGAAAACCTTCACTAATTGGAATGGATTCAAGGAGTCCCTAGCTAAAGCTTTGGACTCACAGGACTCTACCATCTCCCTACCGTCGGACTTAGACAGTCCCGAAAAAATCGACACCGCGGTCGATTCACTCTCCACCCTTATTAAATCCTCCCTTAAGGAGAACGAAAGGGTCGTCCCGGTTGCTAACAATAGTGGGCTTCCCCTACATATTAGCAACCTATTAAAAGCTAAAAAAGCTGCTTTCCGGAGAGCAGCAAAATATCCCACCCCCCGAATATAGGCGCGCGGCCAATCGTCTTCAACGAGAACTCCGCTTCCGCCTCTCTGAATTTCGAGACCTCGAAAAGAGTAAGCTCATGGAGAATATCTCTCCATCTCACACAGCGTACTATCAGATGGCTAGAGCCCTCCGCATAGACGCTATCACCCACACTCCCCCTCTCTCCCGTCCCGACGGCACGGTTGCCTTCGAGGACGAGGAAAAGGCTGAGTGCTTTGCAGATAGCATTGCCGCTCAATGCTCTCCTAGTTCTCAACCCGTCGACCCCTCTCACGTCCAGGCAGTGGAGGATGAGGTCCGCCGCCGGAACTCACCCCCTACGGGCTCCGAACCTATCTCTGTGTCCAATGATGAGATTTCATCCCTCATCAAAGGACTTAAGCCTAAAAAGGCTCCGGGCGCGGATGGCATCTCCAACCAAGCCCTAAAACACTTTCCTGAGCATGTGTTAACCTTTTTATCCCTTATCTTCAACGCCTGCTTCAACCTCAGTTATTTCCCCACTACGTGGAAAGAGGCAACTGTGATTGGAATCCACAAGCCAGGCAAGCCTCTCAACCTCCCCTCCAGCCATCGCCCCATTAGCCTCCTCAAGGCAATGGGCAAGCTCTTCGAAAGAGTCATCCAAACGCGTATGAGGCGCTATCTGTTTCCCACAGACGGCGACCCTCTTATCATTCCCCATCAATTCGGTTTCCGAGCCAAACACTCATGTCCCCAATAGGTTCACCGCATTGTGGAATATATCCTCAGCGGCTTCTACCCCCGTCGTCATAAGTCCATCGCGGTCTTCTTCGATATAGCTAAAGCTTTCGATAGAGTCTGGCACACAGGCCTCATCTACAAGCTCTACAAAATAGGTCTCCCCGATCGTCTAGTTCGTCTCGTGGCCTCCTATTTAAAACATCGTACCTTTCGTTTTAGATACGAAGGTACGCTATCTTCACAGTGGACTATCAAGGCTGGTGTCCCTCAGGGCTCAGTACTTGCTCCTCTGCTGTACATCCTGTTCACCAACGACATTCCCATCCCGTCGAAAGGTGTTCAACTCTCCCTCTTCGCAGACGACACTGCCATCTACTGCAAAGGTGTCTCACTACCCTTCATACGAAACAAGATCCAAAAGTCAGTTGATGTCCTAGGAGCTTGGTTCAAAAAATGGCGCATCGATGTGAACCCGGAGAAGAGCTCCACCGTTCACTTCGATTATAAACGACACCGTCTCAAAAACACTCCACCAATACGTATGCTAGGGACCCCTGTCCCCTGGCATACGTCCGCCAAATATTTAGGTGTCACTCTAGACACAGGGCTCACTTTCAGGCCCCACGTCAAAAGAGTAACCCGTCACACACGGTTTTATCTGAGTAGGCTCAACAGTATGTTGGGCCGACACAGGAAAATGTCCCTTCGAAACAAGCGTACCCTTTACAAGGTCTGTATACGACCAGTCATGTCCTACGCGGGCCCCGTCTTTGCCCACGCAAACCCTAATATTTTAAATGAACTCCAAATAGTTCAGAACCTCTTCTGTCGTCGAGCTGCGAACGCACCTTGGTACGTCCGTAATGCCGACCTTCATCGGGACTTAGAGCTCCCAACAATTCAACAATTTTTTAAAAAACTCTCTGAGAACTTCTTCAAAGCCTCAGAGTCGCACCCAAACCATTTAATTCGTGAGGCAGCTTCTTATGCAGCCCCACCCCCCTCTCGCTATCGTGTACGCAGGCCGAGAAACTCTCTCTCGGACCCGCCTAATAAACTGTCAAACGACCTGAACTGTCTCCTGGCGGCTCAGGCCAACTCTAATTAAATTAAATTATTGTAATAACTAACATTAATTTGCCTTCGTAGGCACTCCCTCAGCGGCACTTAGCCGCCTGCGCCCTCTTTTCCCAAAAGAGGGTCGCTCATGATAAAACACAATACAGCTTGATCAGCCGGCTGCCTGTCCCCAAAGGCGGTTTTTAGAGGGTATCACTTAGGGTCCCCGGTAGGACAGTGAGCCCCTCATAACCACGATAGACCGGCTATCGTGGTATGCGTAATGCATTTTCCGCATCCCTACGTATAGGGTAGCCCTTTAATTGCTTCGGGTGCAAAAAAAAAAGAGTAAGGCAGTAAGGGTCCCTAATTAGGGCGTCAGAGTGAACCCGGTGCATTGAAAAAGAGAAGGCCGGTTTATTTCATTTTGAGAAGTGACAAGTGCGAGTGACAATGACAAGTGACAAATGACAAGTGCTTAGTGCGTGTGAACAGGCAGTGACAAGTGCGAGTGACAAGTGATAAGTGCGAAATGAAAACTAACAAGTGAATAGCGGCCTGCTCTATTCTCTGACAAGTATCTCTGCCCCGCGCTAACCTTGCTTTCCCCTCAGTCACCCACCGCCGACCCAACCCAGTTCTAGCGGCGAACGTCAGAACATACACGTGTTGGTTATAATAGTTATTAAATAAAATATTTATATTACTTATATATATTGTATACATACTCGTATTTATAATAATTTTGTTTTATTGCTATTTATTGTATATTTTATATTTATTTTATTTATCTGCTATTCCTTATTTAGGAACAATATTAGTAAATTGAGTTTGAGGGAGATTTACTGTTTATAATGCTACATTTATTATTTTAATATTTACCTACTGGGTAGGTAATTATTAAAATAATAAATATAGCATTAGTAACTAAATAGATATTTTTTTAAATTTTTAAAATTAAAATTTTCGCATTTTTAAAAATTACTAAAAAAAAGGGTTTGAAATAATAGATTTTCTCACAAAAGAAGGGAACTTGAAAAAA